ATATATATATTCTGTCTTATTACACAAGTATGACTTTAATGACTCCTGCTCAATAATGTGTGCTGATTGAGCCTGAAAAGTTCAATAAGTCTAAGTGATGAACTGAAGTTTTGGCCTTTTCGATTATGGCATTAACACAGACTTTGATTTATTTTTGTTTATAACTGTGTACAAGTACACTGCTATGGCCAGTCAGCAGTTTGTAATGTTTTCAAATGAGGTTAAACACCTGAGTTGCAAACGGACACTAATTTGTGAGTTTCCTTTTATTTGCTTGTCTTTTTCGTTTTCTTTTTTTTAAAATATTTTCTACCTTTTAGGAAATAATTTTAAAAAGCAGCATATGTTCCAGTACTTAAAGCCAAACCTTTGTCTCCCTCTGACTTGTTTAGCTGCTGGTGCAGAAAGAAGCGGACCTGTTTGCGGAAAACGAAAACCGCGAGACTCCATGTGACTGTGCAGAGAAGCAGCACCACAAGGATTTGGCCCTACGCCTGGAGTCGCAGATGGTCTTCTCTGTGGCCCCCGAGGCCGAGGGTATAGAAGCAGAGTACGCAGCTCTCGACCGAAGAGAGGTACAGAATAAGACTGTAAGAGGCAGCGAGTGTAATCCTTTCAACTTTACTCCCCTCTGGGGTGACTTACATCACTAGAACCAACATTTAGTGTAGTTTTGTCTGTATTGTTAAATAGCTGACAAAGATTTTCCCTTTTTGTCTAAAAAAAAATCACATTTTTGCTGTTCGTGTTTTGTAAATAAACATTTTTAATACAGAGAAACACGCAGGTAGTGTCACTTTTAGTGTGAAAATAAAAGCTCTTCACTAATGACCTATTTCAGATACGGGTTTTCAGCTTTTTGTACTTTCTTGGCTAAAGGCACTAATTTACTGAAAAATAATTATTACTTCATTGTTAAATAATTGGCTTGAACCTCTTGTTTTTCTAGTGAAGACGTGGCTGGGCTTGATCACAGACAGAAACACAAATTAGTCACACAAACAGATTGTTAGAGGGCATGTGACTCTTATCTGCTCATTGTGTGTGGTTACGTCAAGCCTCAGCTGTCATTGATAGTGTCTGTTCTACTTCTCTTTTCTCTCTTTCCCTAAATCTTTACTTTTTTTTACCTGCATTTCTTCATGTCCCCATTTCCTCCTTATTTCAACCTTTGTCATTTTTGTTCTGTTTTTTTATCTCTTCTCTGTCAACTGGTTCCATTCTTTTCTTTAACTTTTCCTTTCATTTTTTTCCTTCAAGTTCTTGTCAGTGACTTGTTTTGTTCTGTCTTGTATCTGACCTCTTTTCTTTAGCTGTACGAGGGCCTGCGGCCTCAGGATCTACGGAGGCTGAAGGACATGCTGATTGTGGAGACGGCTGATATGCTGCAAGCTCCTCTTTTCACTGCAGAAGCTCTGCTCCGTGCCCATGGTACTATTAAACACACACACACTGACTCAGAGAGAAAGTATCCGTCTTTATAATATGTGCTGGAGTTATTCTGGAGGCTTAGTGATCTCAAAACCATCAAGCCGAGCTGAGCCTTTGGTCCCGCCCCTCGTCAATTGCCGAGCAGGCGGGGCCAGCAGGAAATGTCCCGGTGCTCCCAATGACCAGCTGCCCCTGTTCAACACCTCCAACACTGACTTGCCTCGTGCTGCTCTATTTCCTTCATTTGTGTTTAGTATTGCAGCATCAGAAAAGTCCCTGTGAAACAGTTACAGTAATTGGTGAACATCATATTTTGAATGTTCAGGCTACCAGTATGCTAGTAAATGCAAAACTGATATAAAAAAGGTTGAAAGCATTTTTTTTTGTTATGTTGTTGTGTACCATCCAGGAAAGGCGTGGTCGGCATCAAACATGTTTAATGCTACTGTACCACATTATTTACTCCAAAACTGTTGTTTTGGTCTCTTTAGATGGCATGTTTCTCATGCAGTTTAAAATGAAATAAAAAAGGATTTGTCTGTCTGATTGTAGATGGGTACATGTTGACGCCATCGGGTCGAAAAGATCCTGCAAATCTTGTTATACAAATCCATTTTTCTCAAACTTCTTTGTCCTTCACAATAAATACTCTGTGTGTAAATTGACTAAAGGTGTCTGTCCCAAACAAACTGGCAATTCAATTGTCATGGATTTTTGACAAAGAGGAATATTGTATTTCAAATAATTTAGAAATGTTATGTCTCTCACCAAACTGATTGATATCCACACCTTTTTTCCTGAGGTAAGTTCTTGAAGATCTTGTAATACCGCACTCTTGCATGATAAGTAAAGAAATAAAAAAACACATGTATATACGTATCATATGTTTACAAAAAGTTTTTAATATTTGAGCTCTAACTTGGAACTGCAATGATTTTGTTTTATTTTTTTATTTTTTTTGAACCTAACCTATGATTTCTCCCTCCAGCATTCTGAGCAATATACATCAAAATGTATACCTTTTTAAATATATATTTTGCAAATAAAGATAAATAGTTTATCTTTTAATTACGGCACAAGTAAATAAATCCGTAAACAGATTGTTTTTGCTTTACTTTCTTCGATTTTATTTGCAGCAACAAACTTATCAAAGTTGGTTCATTCAACCATAACATGGAGTCTTTTATAAACTTCAGTTCAGAACATGATGTGATTTGATTGCCTTGTTAATTTAGCTTGGCTTAAATTCAGTAGCAGATTATTGATCTGTACGAGCGTCATACAGGATGTGCCTGTTGGGTCTTAGCGGAAAGGGAGCTGCTCTTTATTTATTCACCTCTATCAGGAAAACGGTCACTGTCTGTCACAAAATGATGCAACATTTTAGGAATATTCATAGCGTCCAGAGGAAAGGCTTAAAGGCTTGCGTATCCCTCAAATCATGTAAAAACTTTAACAAATTTCCCCGCCTTAATCTTTTCCATTTTCCTGTCATTATTCTTGCTGCCTGTCAGCTGAACTGCCTGCTTGTCAGTCCTCTGTACTTCTAACAATTAGAATTTCTCCAATGTGAAACAAAACTTTTTAATTTCAGACTCATTTTAATGGCTCAAGGCATGGAGATAATGTTATAGTCATTGATTAGTTTTAATTGAATGGAAATGGGGGGAATTGTTGCGACATTCATTATCTAAACGAGGCCATTTAGAGTCTGAGGCATTTGATTGCTGGTGAAGCATGCCTCCAGGCTGATAATGGCCTAATTGCCGTTGACCGGGTCATGTTCCTTATTTTAAAAGAGGAGAATATTTAGACTTAAACACCGTCCACAAGTCATTCACAATTTATGCTGAAAGACTCTCGGGTCTTTTCCTGTGAGACTGAAGAGCTATTCTAAAAGCGAAAACCAGGTGGCAGCAGGTCTTTATTGTTGGCCGTTTAAAGGACCCAGTAGTGTTTCTGTTTTTTTGTGGATTTCAAATTCAAGTTTGTAGTAGACAGGGTGGACTGAAAGATGTTTCTGGATTCTAATTTTTATCAGTTAAATAGAGTATTTGGTTCCGACTAGATAGGGATTTTAGTATAAATATGTCTTTACTTTTTCATCAGACTGGGACAGAGAGAAGCTCTTGGAGGCCTGGATGAGCAATGCAGAGGAATGCTGCCAACGTTCGGGGGTGCAGATGCCGAACCCACCTCCGAGTGGCTACAACGCGTGGGACACGTTGCCGTCACCCCGGACCCCTCGCACCACCCGCTCCTCCATCACCTCCCCGGACCAGATCAGCCTCTTGCCCGCTGACGACGAGTCTTCTCTGGTGAGAGAAGTCAGCTGCTTTTCCTTCTCTGTTTGATGTACCGATCCATTTGATACAGTACAGCATTACAGTGTTGTGTGTATGTGTCTTCTGTTTACTACACACTCATGTAAAACTATTACAGTCAGGCCTCAATTTCTACATGGCGACCAGTGGAGATTTGTTCTAAATAATCGAAAAAGGAGCAGAGATCTGACCTCTGTTAGAAGCTTAAAGGGGAGGAAGAAAGGAGGACACTGAATCTTGGTTCTTGATTAAGAGTCCGGACCTGCCAACTTGTGTGTGTTTTGTGTATCTGGCACACATTCTGACTTCAAAGTACAGTGATAAAACTGTAATCAAACAACCACACGGACTCAGTGTGAATTTGAGTAATTGTGCGGTGCTGAGGTGCGCCTTAACGAAGAAGAATTGGACCGATAACAGTGCTGGACTCATTCCCCGCACTTTCACCCACTTGTGGAAAAACTAATACATGGCTCGGATGTGTAGGATGACCCACTAACTCAGCTCTTTTCATCTTGATATGTCCTCTGTTCCCCCCACCCATTTTTTTCTTCTTTCTTCAAATGTAAACGGAGAGGAAACACTAAACTTGCTATAAAGGCATTCTGAGCAACTTGTTCATCATTTTTAAGTTGAGAAAAATGACCATGTGTTGCAGATGTATATTAACTAATGGAGTAAGTAATAAGAATAGCTGATGGTAGTATCCCTGCTGCCCCACATACTAGAGAAAAACAGATAAAGCAGTGTTGGTGTAAATCAGTGAAGGAGAAACACATTATAATACTTGAATAATGTCACAAAGCTCTATATAAGTGTATAACCTTTTATTATTTATGCTTTTAGTATAGAAGTACTGCAGCACCAAAGGAAAAGAGACATTTCCTTGGAAACTAGCAATTCTTGGTAGAGGTGCACTGATTGCTGTTTTCTGAACGATCACCGGTCTTTAAAAATCCTGACCTGCCGATAGAGATTTCTAATATAACTGACCTTGTGAAGTGTCACAAAACAACTTCAATGTTCCAATCTTATTTTATTGAAAATCATTGTATTCTTTCAATTGTAATATTCAAACTTGTTTCAACTGGACATGAAGTAGTGCTCACAGCAGAGCAATTGGGGACAGTGGCTGATACTCAAACCTTTGCGGAGGTAGATCAGATTGGCTACTAATCTAAGTATCGGCCGATCTCCCAAAGTTGAAAAATCTGTTGTGCTTAATAATCCAGTATTTGCATAACATCTGGATTTTGGGTAAAACCTGAAGCATTTTTTTTTCTAAAATTAGCTTTCTCTTTTATACCTGTATTTTATTTCTTCTTCTTTCAGCTGTCCCCTAGTCAGGGGTCATCACAAGGAGTCATCCTCCTTCGTGTCACTCTGTCCTCTTGTGTCCTCATTCCAACTACTTCCATGTCATCCTTAACTGAATCTATATATTGTCTCTTTGTCTTTTTCCTGGCAGCTCCATCTCTAACATTCTTCTACCAATAGACCCACTATTAGGAATGCGCGATATAAACGATATACGGTAGAAACAATATAAATTTGTCCTATGATAGAGATCTGAAGTCTACCGGTCAACTGAGCAGTTGTTTTTGATGACGTAACCAGCTGGAGTCAAAACAGAGGAAGCGGGAAGCAGCGTGGCTGAGAGCGCAAATGAAGAGGAGGAAAAAAACATAACTTATCCGGACCTGGTTCGGGTGTGTGAAAATGAACACCGAACTGTTTACATATTTACGTGATGGCGCGTCCTCCGGTCGGATGCCGACTGACCACACTGCCTGCTGCAGGAGGAGCGCGCGCCACGGCACATGACGCAGCGAGGCGACTGTCAGTGCAGGTGAAGTTAGTGCTCCAGGACGCACAAAAGCTCTCTTGAGTCTGGACTTCATTTCTCCTGTGGTCAAAGCGCGCGCACTCCACGCCCACTTCGCGTGCGTTCCAAAGCGCGACTATAACTCAGCCTTTACTGTCTCCTTGTACAGCGGAGA